GACACCATCATGGTCTTTATACCTTCGAAAATAAAATAGAATTTTAAGATGGCACCGCTACAACTGGCAGTGCTCATGTGGTACCTGGTGGTCACATGGAAGAGAAAAACTCGAAGATTTTCTGAAGTTTATGAGCTGGATTGATGAAAAAATTCAATTTACGATGGAAGTAGAGGTGGGTGAGCAGTTACCTTTGCTGGATGTTGAAGTGATTCACTCAAATGGGACGATCAAGAAGGAAGTGTTCAGAAAGAAGTATTATGCCGGGATAATATTCAATTTCCAGTCCCATCACAAGTACAGGCTAAATAAAGGAATAATGAAGAGCATGATCATCGGAAGCCTACGTTTAACGGATGTGGAATTCTGGGACGAGGAGTTGGACAAATTGATTAGGATACACCTCGGCAACGGATACCCAAGCGAACTAATACAAAGAAGCATACTGGTCATAAAAATCCGATGGCAGAACGAGGACTACGAAATAACTGTAAGGACGAAGAAGGATTCACAAAGGTGGATATGCCTACCTTCCTGCGAGCTTACTCAAAAACAGCGGTCAATATTAAAGAAATGGAATATTCGGGTGGCCATGAAAGAAAAATCAACACTTTTCACAAATCCATCGACGCAACATGAAAGGCTAGACAATTTGGATTGTTCTGGAATTTACAGCATAGCATGCAAACAGAAATATATTAGCAAAACAGGGAGAAAAATTAGCATACGAATCAGGAAACATCAAAATGTACTAGAAATCCACTTGAGATGCTGCATACAACCAGAGATAGGCGTCTACAATTTGCTGATGTAACACGGGTTTAATTCAGGAGACGTCCCGCGAAGACAATGCCTAATACCTGCAATCATGGGAATCTGAGCCTCGGCGCTCTGCTCGGTGAGGTGGCAGTTTACGTGCTTCTAGGACCTTAAGAAATAGCGCCTGGAGTGAAACGCACACTGGGATTGGAAGCGAATGAAATCAGTCAACCAGAAAGATCAGGAATGGATCTACGGGACCATGTGGCAGATCCGGACAGGAGGCCGAGTCGGATTGGCCGATCGAGGGAGAGGGGGTCAGGGTGAATAGCATGTGTGATGAGGCCACACTAAATTTTCCAAAAAAGGGCGCACATTTTGACGAGTGAAAAGTAAACATGTGAGAAGTTGTGATAGGGCGGGGGTTGGATAGATGGGCCAGGACAGAAAGATGAGTGATAATGTAACCGTTTCGGCAGAACATTGGTCGAGGAATCGATTTGACTTGTCTCTTTGACGAGTTTGTAGTTGTGGCCGGTTTCGATTACTGTCGAGGAATACCTGTTCTGATGAGGCCTGGCGAAGTCAAAACTTCAGTTCCTTCCGCATTTATCTCATATTTATAATAATAATTTACAACCCTAGGGCGTGGACTTCTTAGATTCCCAGACGTTGCTCCGCTGTCTCTAATGAATCCCGCCATTCTCAGATAAAGCTACAACTTTTTCTCTGACAAGTCGTAGCATGGTGCAATGAATGGCCGATCACGATGCCGGAAAAGCTTCTGGAAAGTCCACAGCCCAGGCAATAAATCATCATGCCTACTATGGCAGAAGACTTCGGACAAGGTACGTTCATCATAGGTTTACATGAGAACATGACTGAATTGCAAAAACGAAGTGAAACCACTTCTAGATTTACCAAGTTAGTTTTCAAAACTCTCTGAAAGGCTCAAAAAATTTCAATACAGATATACACCATAGTTATTAAACTTTATTTAAAAGTCCATCCTCCTGACAATTTTCAGATGATTTTGGTGTGTGTGGCCTATGCTTAAAAGTATATCGAGGTTTTACAATGAAAATTATCGTAAAATGAAGTTATCTAATATCTAATTGTGGTCAGGATCAATTGCAGGTCATGTTAGAATCAAATCATCCCGTTGGCGAAGTAAATGGCGAGTGGATCTCTTAAGGATAATTCATGCATCCCATATCTTTTAGGCAATGTTTTAGCCAAAATAATGCATACCCTTATGCTGTAAACTTTAACGTTTGCAAAAAATAGGTTGCCACAGAACCTAAACTTCCACTAGAGCAGTCCGTGTTTCAACTATGAATTTACAAGGATATTTGAAGCACAAATTTCGTTCTTATAAATGATAGAAGCA